CATTGCCCAGTCACTGTTTCATCAATAATGCATCCCTCTTGAGGCATTTGTAGACCGGCACTGTACAGGTCTGCCAAATTCAGAATACCTTCTTGTCAATTCAGCTGCATAAAGGGGCGAAACGTGTGAAAAAGTTGGCGCATCCCAAGTATCCAAAGCCAGTAAGCTAGTCAGATCCATAATAATAAACTTCGCTATGAAGATGCCACAGGTATTCGAAGTTTGATTACGCTTTAACCAGTAACACCTAATATGAATAATACCCAACAAGTAAAATCAAAAGACAGAAGCGAGGAGGTTAGAAGATATATTTGATAGTCTATCAATATATCGAGTATCGCCTGATCTTATGTGGCTGGCGATTGCAGGGGTTGTTGGGCATGGCGTTCCCACTCGTGATCTGGTGCGGATGCATGACCGAGCGCCTTCAGCTGAGTGAGTCCATTTAAACTAATGTGGTCAGCATCCAATGTCGAAGACTTACAGAGCTATTTATTTTGGGGATTTATTCACCGCTACAACTAACACTGAATATAGACTATTATTGCCTAAAAAATGTATCATACCCCACCTTGAATATAGTAGCCCTAACAGGGTTTCTGCCGGTCCCAAGCCTGGATAAAGGAGGAGGGTTGGGCATGGGGTTAGCGTCCCCATCCCGTAGAAAACTAACTCGCTAAAAAAACGCTTACCAGAAAAAATAATCCAAACCATTTAAACTCTGCCCTGGGAGTTAGAAGGTCTTCAGTTAGAAGAATTATGACGCTTCATGGTGAAAGCCGAGTTCCTTCGGAAGCCACGAGGCCGATGCCCCTTCTAACAACCAGAGCAAAAATTTTTATAGGTACATGGAACGTTCGAACAATGTGGGAAACCGGGAAGACCAGTCAAATAGCAATGGAAATGAGGAGATACAACTTAGCAGTACTGGGAATCAGCGAAACCCACTGGACCCAAGCTGGACAGAAAAGGCTAGCTACGGGAGAGATGCTGCTATACTCCGGTCACGAGGAGGACAATGCTCCACACACTCAGGGAGTCGCTCTTATGCTGTCCAAAGTAGCACGAAATGCACTTGTAGGATGGGAGTCTCACGGATCCAGAATCATCAAAGCATCATTCAAAACAAAGAAGGAGGGGATCTTAATGAATATTATCCAATGTTATGCACCCACCAATGATAGCAACGACGACATTAAAGATCAGTTCTACGAGCGGCTGCAGTCAATCATTGAGAAATGCCGAAGAAAGGACCTAACTATTCTGATGGGAGATCTAAATGCCAAAGTCGGAATAGACAACACTGGATATGAAGATATTATGGGACGACATGGACTGGGAGAAAGAAACGAAAATGGAGAAAGATTTGCAAATTTGTGTGCATTCAACAAATTGGTCATAGGAGGCACAATATTTCCACACAAGCGTATACACAAGGCTACATGGATCTCACCGGACCACACTACAGAGAACCAAATAGATCATATTTGCATCAACAAAAAATTCCGAAGGACAATGGAAGATGTGAGAACCAGGAGAGGTGCTGACGTAGCTTCAGATCACCACCTAGTTGTAGCCAATTTAAAACTGAAGCTGAAAAAGAACTGGACAAGTGGACAAACAGCACTACAAAGGTTCAATACAGCCTTCCTTCGAGATACTGACAAACTCAATGAATTCAAGATAGCTCTCAACAACAGGTTCCAAGCCTTACAAGATCTACTGAAAGAAGAAGAAACTAGTATGGAGGACAACTGGAAAGGCATCAAGGAAGCATTAACTTCAACGTGTCAAGAGGTTCTGGGCCTAAAGAAACACCATCATAAGGAATGGATCTCTATAGAAACACTGGACAAGATCAAAGAAAGGAAGAACAAGAAGGCAGCAATTAACAACAGCCGAACACGAGCAGAGAAAGTCCAAGCACAAGCTGAATACATAGAAGCAAACAAACAAGTGAAGAGGAGCATTAGAGCCGACAAGAAGAAATACGTGGAAGAACTAGCAACGACGGCAGAAAAAGCTGCTAGAGAAGGAAATATGAAACAGCTTCACGATACAACGAAGAAACTAGCAGGGAAATACAGTAAACCAGAGAGGCCGGTCAAAGACAAAGAAGGCAAGCCAATCACCGAAATTCAACAACAGCGTAACAGATGGGTAGAATACTTCGAGGAACTCCTGAATAGGCCGGCTCCAATGAATCCACCGGACATCGAAGCAGCACACATAGATCTTCCTATAGATGTCAACCCACCAACGACGGAAGAAATTAGAATGGCCGTCAGACAAATCAAGAACGGGAAAGCAGCAGGACCCGACAACATACCAGCTGAAGCACTGAAATCAGACATCGAAGCAACCACAAGCATGCTCTACCTTCTATTCAAAAAGATTTGGGAGGAGGAACAAGTGCCGATGGACTGGAAAGAAGGACACCTCGTCAAGATTCCAAAGAAAGGAGATCTGAGCAAATGTGAAAACTACAGAGGCATTACACTACTGTCAATACCAGGGAAAGTCTTCAACAGAGTGTTGCTGAACCGGATGAAGGATGCAGTAGACGCCCAACTTCGAGATCAACAAGCTGGATTCCGTAAGGATCGGTCGTGCACAGACCAAATTGCAACACTACGGATCATCGTCGAACAATCAGTGGAGTGGAACTCATCACTATACATCAACTTCATTGATTATGAAAAGGCATTCGACAGTGTAGATAGGAGGACATTATGGAAACTTCTTCGACACTACGGAGTTCCTGAGAAGATTGTCAACATTATCCGGAACTCATACGACGGACTACAGTGCAAAGTAGTGCATGGAGGACAGCTGACAGATGCATTCCAAGTAAGGACTGGAGTCAGACAAGGCTGTTTACTCTCTCCCTTCCTCTTTCTTCTGGTGGTCGACTGGATTATGAAGACCTCAATATCTGAAGGAAAACACGGAATACAATGGACAACTCAGAATCAATTAGACGATTTGGACTTCGCAGACGACCTAGCCCTCCTATCACGTACACACGAACAGATGCAGATGAAGACAGCCAGTGTAGCAGCAGTCTCTGCATCAGTAGGCCTCAGCATACACAAAGGGAAAACCAAGGTCCTCAAATTCAAGCGGAGAACAGCAATCCAATCACTCTTGATGGCGAAACTCTGGAAGATGTAGAGTCCTTCACATACCTGGGAAGCATCATCGATGAACAAGGAGGTTCAGATGCAGACGTAAAGGCGAGGATCGGCAAAGCAAGGGTCGCATTCCTACAATTGAAGAACATATGGAACTCAAAACAACTTTCAACCAATATCAAAGTGAGAATCTTCAATACGAACGTCAAGGCAGTTCTACTGTATGGAGCTGAAACTTGGAGAACTACAACAACCACAATCAAGAAAGTACAAGTATTTATAAATAGCTGTCTACGCAAGATACTCAACATCCACTGGCCGGATACCATCAGCAATAGCCTTCTGTGGGAGAGAACAAACCAACTTCCAGCTGAAGAAGAAATTAGGAAAAGACGATGGAAATGGATAGGACATACATTACGCAAATCGTCAAACTGCATCACGAGGCAAGCCCTAACTTGGAACCCTGAAGGGAAGCGAAAAAGAGGAAGGCCAAAGAACACATTGCGTCGGATAATAGAAGCAGATATGAAAAGGATGAATTACAACTGGACGGAGCTGGAAAGGATTGCCCAGGACAGGGTTGGATGGAGAATGCTGGTGAGTGGCCTATGCTCCTTCACGAGGAGTAACAGGCGTAAGTAAGTAAGTAAGTAAGTTGACAGTAATTGAAGGCATAGTAATTTGATGAAAATTGAGAGTATCTAATGATGATTCCCTAGGATTGTTTTGGGTTATTCCGGCAACAACGATTACCACTAACGATGTTGTACGGTCAATGCAATATCACTTGGCCCTAGTCAAATCATTCGGCAGTTGAGTAACTCAACGTCGAACACTTCACCGATCCTCTTCAAGAATAAGGGCGACCGACGCACATCAGTTAATTGTATGTCGTGAACTGGCCCATGAGGCAGTAGTCATGTAGCAACCTAAGTTGACCAATTAAGGGTTGACATTAAACAACTAAGTATATGCCAAAAAGGTGAAGCTGAAATATTCATTCAGGTCCTTATTTTTTAAAGGCATTATATTCCCTATTATCTTATATTGAATACCGAAATGCTTTGTGCGTTTGAACAGATATTTCCCTGCTCTACTGTGTGCCACCCGCGGGCTAAAATGAAGAACTATTCATTGCTAGTCTAGTTTTTTATCAGTAGAACGAGGGATACCCACAAGCACAAAAGGTACACTCTTTTTCTTGTACCTGATCTCACCAACATATTTTTGTAATAAAGTCGTTTGTGTTGCATGGTCATCAAAGCAGCCATAGTATCTCGTTACGACGAAAGGGTAATCTAGGCTAGGTAATAACCGCGAGGTGTGACTTCGACGTTAGCTGACTGTTCACACAATTCCCGTCTAACTCGAGTAGGTTCCCAATCATTCTAAATATACCACCTGCAATAGTGATCTACAATATGGGCAGCTGAAGTCAGAACCTTTCTCGACCGGGCGCATCGAACCAAGCGTTGTCTTTGTCTTATTTACTTAAGCCCATTAACCCTCATAGAGGAGAATAGGTCGAGCATCATCATTCATAAATCCTTCCCACTTGTCTCCAGTTTCTATTCATCCTTTTGATGTCCACCGGCTGCTGCGTATCCCTCGGTCTTCGGCCTTTCCAGTTCTCTTCAGGATTCCAAGATAGGGCTTGTCTCGATGTGTAGTTTGATGATTTTCTCAATGTGTGTCCTACACTAATGTCCAAAAGCAATATGTTTCACGCCGTGTTCCTCGATTACTACTGTCATTAACTAGCGCGTTTATCCTGAATATTATAAGGGAATTATACGGTAACTATAGACTTCCGCAATCAAAATGAACAGACAGTATGGTTTTTCTTCCCAGCCAATTTTGAATTGTTGGCCTTCAGCGACAAATGTGTGTATTCGATTGAGAACGCTACGGCCTAACATGCTATGAGCCTATTAGCTTTGGAATGTAAGAAGAATGATGGTAGTTGCGCTGGTAACACGAGTACTGACAGTAAATAATGTGTCAATGTAGTACGTGTTGTTACAGGACGCATTAAACACCCGACTGTGATTGACGGAAAAGTAAAATTTCCGTTAAGACTAACGAGGAGCGAAGTGTCATTTGATATTAACATGGGTAGTCATGGATCTTCAGTAAAAACTGAAGATACGAATAAAACGGTCAGCGTTCCTAATAGTCCCAGTGTGGCTGTCCTGAGTGGTGAGAAACGGACGGCAGTACAGAGAAAAGGAAGTGAAAGTATTAAAAGCTACAAGCAGTAGACACTTGGTTGGCAAGTCATTGGTGAACTTTTATTCTGAGTCACAAAATACACTACCAAAGTCTGTTATTAAGACAGAACTCGACCCTGGCGTGCCTGAGAAAAATTTATTCTCATCGAGTATTATTGTGAGTAATCTGCTAGAGTCAAACGATTCTGATCCCAAAATTAGACATGCCCATGGTTTGGAAAAGCTCGGAAAACTTATCCATAGCACCTTAACAGATAACTCCAAAAGAGTTCGGGTCAAAAAATTGATGAGAATATGTAAGAGGATAGACGATAATGCCGAACCCCGACCATATAGACCCCTCAAGGTAATCCTAGGGTCAGAGAAGCAATCTTATCTTCTGTTAGGTAGCGCTCGTAGTCGCAACAATACCGACACTCAAGTGAGACGTAGTATGTCTCTAGAAGACAAAATAAAAAGAAAGTCGGCACTAACTGCATTACTTGATGGTGATTATATTTTTAAAATGTCATACCTTCATATTATATATTATTAGGCCCTTAGAACGTATTGTCGTTCTCTTAAGTTATTCTTCTTTGGCACTAGGTAGCGTTCTTTTGAGCTGTTCGTTCATGTGGTAATTAATTATAATAAGTAAATTAGTTGTAGTTGTTATATAAACGAATAATTCATCATTTAGACAGAGGGAACTTATATTTAGTTTACGCAAATTTAAGAACCTTTATTCTCATCTGGATTCTGCCTGATCTTATCCGATTCACCTCCAAAAGTAAACTTGTACTAATTCCGAAAGCAGACCAACTTACAAAACTCTCCAGATATTAGCTTTTCTGCCAACAATTTTTTACAAGTGTTTTTTGATCCGTCTTATTCCCTTTGTTACTATTGACACAGGGTTAAATTGGCGAGCTGGCCATATTTTCGTGTGACGGATTATTATAGCATTAGGCTGTCTAAACTAAGTAGTAACTTGGCTAGGACCTAGAGCATAGAATTTAAAGTTGTGTCTTGATCACTAAGCCAACATATCAGTGGCCATACTGAACTGTGATATGGATTTAATCATTTTTATGGAATCGGTAGCCAGTTAATTCGATTAAACACGAGTACGAGAATTCAGTAAATTCTTTGATGAGTAGCTAAAAGTAACTGCAACCTTCCCATGTACATATCTACACGCTAGAAAACTACTAGGTATAAGTTGTTCACTTTTCGTGGAATAATGTTTAAGAATATGAATGGGGCTAAATAGTAGTTGAAATGGATCCTCATTTGCTTTCTTAGTTATTCAGTCCTATATTTCTGATTTAGTTGAAAGCCTATTCACCAGGTATCAATATAAAGCAATTGATATCTCACAAACATTTAATCTTACAGAGCGGTTGTAATCAAAGTATTTCGTTCTCACAAACTTTATACCATGATAGAGCAAAGTAGTTTACTAAATTTCAGTTTGTTGTGTACCTTATTAAACACTACCACTCATTTCTAAAATCACATCACTTCGGGAGTTAACTATTCTGAAAAATCTAGCTCCTGTCTTTAGACTATATATTATGTCTCCTTTCAATTTAGCTACACCTTTATTTTCAAGAATAATCATTATCTTGTAATGTAATCCATTCAAGCCGTGAGGTTGGCCAATTTTGCCTAATCTCACCATTCTTCCTCAACTTTGCTATCGACGACGTTCTGGAAACAGCTCTGCTTGATGGAGGGAATGGCGGTGTGGATCTGTTGCCTGGAGAAATATTTCTCGACCTTGAGTGTGCGGATGATGTCTTACTGTGTGATCATACCTAAGTCGTGCAATCCGCACTTAATCAGTTGGCAATTAGTGTCCGTAGGTGTGGTATTTGCTTTGCACCTTTTAAGCGCAAAGTAATTTTACAAGACTGGCAGGGCCCTGAACCTTCACTCACTCTGGATATTGAGCGGATAGAAGTAGTCGAGATGTTCGTGTATCTGGGTATCTGTGTAACTGCTAGTGGTTGCGTGAGTGATGAGATCAATTCACGTATAATGAAAGCCAGAGGAGCCTACGCCAATCGGAGCCACCTCTGGCGCCTTCGTGATGTTGGTCTTGCTACAACGCATCGACGAGAGCAGTTTTGCTCTATGCTTATGAAACCTGGCCTCTCCGAGTGGATGTTAGACGACTCTCTGTGTTTGGTCATCGTTGTCTCCGAAGGATTGCTGATATTTGGCGGTAATACCGTGTTATTAATACAGATGTTCGGCATCGCGTGTTCGGGCACAGCTACGAATGTCGTCTCAGAGAATTCCACGTCGTGCATCGTCTGCCGACGCTGGGGTTGGTTGAAAAAGGCGGTGAATTGGTCAGTGTATGAAAGTCGTACATGACTGGCTTCTGTCGGTCCTTCACAAATCCCTGGTTGGGGTCCTAGAGATAGTGCAACACTGGTTAGAGACATGGCTCAGAATAGAAGCCAGTGGCGATCCTGCTTTAACTTTATTTTTTACTTCATAAAAAAGGACCTAACTTTAACTAGAAGAATTCTCTCTGGCTGTACTTTTGCTAATTAAACTCTCCCTCATTATTACTACTTCACTATCGTACACTAATTTCTGTTCGCTATTGTTTCCCTTTTTCTTATACGCACCTTACATTCTTTATCTTTTCACATTCTCATTGTTATTGTGTGGCTCTACCACTACGGGATTTGAATCGACAACTGCATCTCTGTGCTAATGTGGTGTGGCAACTCGAACTGATGTACGTACGTACGAAGTTCTACGTTGTTATTGACTGACTGTGTGGCGCATATGTATCTGGTGCCACTTTGTACCAATGTTTATGTGTTCAAATAGATAAATAATGCAAGTGAAACAAACCAAATGGCATTCAGTAGATCAACCCAGTTGACTAAGATTGATTACAGTTTTGGGTTGGTCTATACGTATTCAATTTGGATGCTGGATATAAGTTTGTTTAACGAAGTCTTACAGTTTTTCACAAGGCTTCATTCTTACTTGTTGTTTCGCATTCTACCACATTCGTTTTCATTACTTTTCCCAGAGTTTGCTGTTGTTGGCTCATCGATATATTGATTTGTATGGTTTTCATCTATAACGAGTTGCATAAATTTCGCCGTCTACAATTCTGGACTGCATCGAATAAAGTATTTCAATAACCATGAATCGGCTATTGTCACTTCAAAAGGTTAGCTCTTCCTTAGTCAGAGTTTCTCAGTCGTCGATTTGGAAAGGAAGCATCTTTGATCCAGTATGTTCACACAATTGGGTTTTACACCCAACAATACGCTGGAAATCTAAAGGGGCACATGTGAAAAACGTTAAAAAATTTGATCGAAGTGATATCACTGCAGAAGTTTTATCACTTGTAAAAGAGGATAAAATGAACAAAGAATTTCAGAATATCTTGTCACGTTTTCAAAACTCCTTAGTCCAGCGTTTAAGTTTAAGAATGACTCCACAGATATTTTTCGATATTATGGTAAGTATATGGTTTTATATTAACTTAAGATATCCGGTCATTTGATTCCACTATGTTCACAAATGTTGACCTTTTAACCCACAATTTAGTTCTCAGTCGCTTTTGATTGAAGGTATATTCCTTAGTTTGCACTTTCAGAGCGGAACAATTTAATTACTGTAAGTTGCTTCACCAGTCTACATAGATTCGACCAGCCACTAGAATTATACGAAAACGTCGTGCATACACTACACTCCGCTTAGTCGTACAAACAAAAGCAGAAAACTATCCGTCATATCACTTCCAATTAAATATATCGCTTTACATGTACATGGAAGCGAAGAAAGGTGAGCATTCACTCGTTTTGCTCAAAATATTCCAACGAATCTACATCTCCAAACTCTAAATAACCTTCTTAGTTCAATAGCGCATCAGCAGCTGGACATATGGCATAAGGTTGACGCAATGAACTTATACAAAGTGATTAGTTAATAGTCCAGTCCGATTCTCGAGGACTATAGCAGTCATAAGGCTTAAGCTTGACCTTTGTATTCTCAAAGAGTTATTGGTTAGCATTAATCTGTTTTGGTAATAGAGGCGAATTAAATGTACCTGCCCCTTCTTTTTCAGTCAGTTGTAGTCACAATCTAGTGAGCTAAACTTACACATCCTCACTTTCATTCTATATTTTTTAGGAACCCAATTTTTTTTTATCGCGTAGTGATATTTTAAATAGCTTAAGGTTATAACCGTAAACAGTTATAAAAGCCTGTTAAAAAGTTTAATTACCATTTTTGTTTGCGTTACAAACAACCTATTCATTATTGACGCTTCATTTTTCAAATTGAACATCATGCTAATAATTAGTAATAATGAAACATAGCTCGTATGTCGCTGATCAGGCGACGGGATGCAATAAATTCTTAGTATTCCGCGAACGTTTTTGCGCTTGCTTTCTTCACATTATTATATTGTTATTCACATTCAACATGTATAAGATATTATTCGCTTAATATTTCTAAATCCCATATATTTTCCATTAGATAGTATATTTGCAGAGGTATCACTTGTAGGAAGAGTTTACTATATATATGGTGGTGTCATTTTCCCATCATATTCTTTAATAAAGTGGAAAATTGTAAACCTTTACTCATTTTCATAAAGTATACTAATAGAAGAACAGGGTTTATATCATATTCCCGTTAGCTTGTCATATGAAAACGCTTAATTCAACAGTCATCCACTATAATGACCTCATGAAGTAAGCAGAAAATGAATATATTAGTGACATAATTCTCAGCACTGATACAGAAATCTTATTGATGTTGATAATGATGCGAATGCTCAGTTGTTTAGTGCTAATTTAACCGAATTATTAGCAGAGGTTTCTAAGTGCAATAATAGCAAAACAGCATCACAACTGACCGGTAAAACAGGGCGTTAAAGTACAATGCAATAAAATTAAAGATAATTCGAAGTAATTTTAAACGTAAGTGACAGGAGATTGAAGGTTTCGTAGATCGCTAATATAGCAATGAAATTGTGATTGAACTGCTAGACTGAATTCTTGATAATTATATCAATGTATATGTACAAATTATCTAATAGACAATCAGTTACTTAGTTCTGTTTAACTGATGCTAACTATAAAACAGTCATAACTAAATTCTTCAAGACTCATTGCTTTCGTTAATTAGTTACAATAATCTACTTAATTTCTTCTGCAAACTAATACATCGTAGACATGGCATAAACAAGTTTGCTATTATTTTACATGTAAATATCTAATCCATTTTTATTCTACTATTTGACTCCCTCTATGTAATCTGTCCATTTTATAGCTTCCTGAACTAAATGTAAAACTTGGTCAAGTGGCGAATATAATCCTGCAAAATAATATGCACCAAAACATAACCTCAAACAATTCTCATAACAGAGCAAATGTAGGGAATCACTATCTTCTCGTCGATCTTACTGGCAGACCTGAACTTTTTGTTCCTGCTCGGAAGGCAGTAATTTCCTTTTTAGATCCATGTAAAGATGGTTCTGGGGAAAACAGGGTCCAGTCAGTTAATGAATGTACATTTACCATACAATTAAATACTGTTATTACCCAGGAATCTCGTCAAAGAGCCCTGCTTCAAGGTTAGTTTGTGTACAAAGTACTCATCAATAGGTAACATAAAAAACCATGTTAACAGAATCCTGAATATTATATTTTTACCTTATTTAGTCACGTTTACTAAACGGTCCCCAAATGCCTTGGTACGGCCGAATGTGGAGAGAGTTCACTCTCCCTGCCTCTCGAAGTACTCTCATACGACCACTCGTTCACAGCCACCGCCAAAAAAGTCATACTCCTCTGCCTTCTCACGGCGGGGGTTTCGCTCACGAAATTAAGAGGACGAAAAGCTAATGTTCGGCTCTTAAAGCGGGCTGGTGGATACGGAAGATCCATTTAAGTGAGTTGGGAAGCCCTAATTCCAAACTAGTGGATCCCGAGGGAACGAATGGCGTGCAAACCTATTGTTGACGATCGGCTACGATGGAATTGCACCTCCTAGCGTCGCCCCACTCCCTTGTAGATTAGATCTCTAGGTCAAAGGCTCGGGAGTATCCTCTTAGGCAGACCACCTTCGACCTGGGTACACGGGCAGTATCTTAGCCCGTACATAGATTCAGTGATAATCATAACTTGAAAGATCTCAAGTCACGATAGTTGAAAGTTGAATTTCATCATCGAATACAAATTCCCAATCAGCCTTTCTGAAACCACGTATGCCATTCAAACAGACACCCCTCAACGTTCCCACATAAATACAGATCGGACAACAGCTAGGGTTGATCATATTTCAGCACGTTCTGACGCCGATGTCTGCTGTCTATCCGAGACGCATATCCAGGACTAATGAGGCGCTATAGATTAGCTCTCCATCTGTCACTTCGAACCAAGCGCTACAGTTGAAGCACCACTAATCGATTAGATCCCTATCAACGGTCGATTATACGCTTTCAGATTAGAAAGCTCCTTCAAAGTGAGAAAAGGTAGGTTTGGGTAGTGATGAATTTTCGATATCTCCACCTACGTTCCGACAGGTTGCAACTCGGATACAATCAAAGATGAGTCATGCCACTAATCAAATGATCTGCAGAAAGCCTGTTCAACAGATATTATAGTACCAAGTGGAGATTTGAATGCACAAGTTGAGTGTCCAGGCAAAGGAGAGGGTCGTTTGTGCAGCCTATGGGGACTTGTTGGTTGTAGGTCGAATAACGGTGACTGTTTACTGCAGCTTTGGGCAGACTACCTGTTTCTGGTTAGCACTAACTATCGGGACAGCGACCTCTGATATGTTGCGTGGTGTCCTCCCTCTACACACCAAACCTAGAATCAGATTGATCATATCGCGATCAGCCACCGTCTGCATGGCTGTGTATGAAACTGCTACTCCTTTTGGAGTAATGATATAGCCTCGTTGAGGCATGTTGGTCTTCTCTTGGTGACCACGTGTTTGACGGTAAACAAAGATTGTTACGTAATGAAGTTATCCAAACCTTGTGTAAATACCTAGAAAGCTGGTGATCGGAGCGTGTTAATGAGTTGAAAGCAGCAAGTGCATCTGGTGACTGCCGGAAGCTTTCTAAACTCATCCAAGATTCTGATAACAAGAAGTCTGTTGTGAGCGGAACGAACTGTGAAGTTGATAGGATGCCAATCAATATCTACCGACGTCTTAGACGATGGGCATAGTTTTTCGAGGAACAGTTAAGCTGGTCTGCCACTCCGGCGACATCAGTCAGACTATCCTTTCCTCCACGGCTGGTGACGGCTGATTCACGTACCGAGGCGAAAGTCCGCAAGGAATTTCAATTCATGAAGCGCCACAAATCACCAGGCCCAGATGACTTACCTCCAACCCATTTTAAAGATGGTGGCGACCTTCTAGTTAAGGAATCGACTGATCTGTTTACAAAGGTCTAGCAACTAGAGTGTTCCAACATCATGGATTGATTCGATAGTTGTCCCTATCTTTAAAAAGGGTTCAAGTCGTTTCTGTAACAACCATCGGGGGATAAGTCTACTTCCGATCGCGTCCAAATAATTGACTTCTGCCATATTCCGTAGACTGTTCAAAACTGGAGAAAGATTAACTCGCGAGGAGAGGCTGATTTTCGTTCTGTTCGTGGATGTATTGATCATATTTTCACCCTTCCCCGAATGTTAGAACACCGTCAAACTTAATGCAGGCCAACAATCGTAGTGTTTCTTGACATCAGGGGCGCCTTGGATTCGTTGGACAGGACTGTTCTCTGGGATTGTTTGTTGAAGAAGTGTATATCTGAGAGGTCTATTAGCATCTTGAAAGCCCTATATTATATCTGTTTAAGTGCTGGTGGTTTTGTGAGTGATGAGATCAATTCACGTATATTGAAAGCCAGAGCGGTCTACTCCAATCAGAGCCATCTTCGGCGCCTTCGTGATATTAGTCTGGTTGTGAAAGGTCGTGTCTGCAATTCAACAATCGGCTCTGTTTTACTCTATTCTTTAGAAATGTGGCCTCTTCGATTTGAAGATGTTTAGCGACTCAGTGTTTGACCGTCTTTGTCTTCTTATGATAATAATAATTATTATTATTAACCGATTTCATTGATATCGTTACTAAAAAGGTCCCAAACGTCTGTTTTTCAGCCTTCTAAAAAGTACTCCTCTACAAATATGTATTAGAAAGTTAAAACTGTTATTTGTATATGCGTCGAACAAAAATATGATATTGGATTATTTATCAGTCAACAAGTACGTAGTTTCTCCGATAAGTAAACAAACGGATGTCATAAAAGCTTTATTTTACCAGCTTTAAGGTACACTAGTCTTATCCTTGTCAAAATAATCGCTGTTTGTAGCACTACACTTTTTCTGTATTCGTTTTTATTGTCCCTCAATTTTGCCAGTAGTCAAACTTCTTAGCTATGTTATCGTTATATGTTTGCTAAAGCCGTTTAGCTCACTTACCTTCTCCACTGCCCGTCATTCCGATGCGCTTCGTTTCTCTGATCGTCAGTCTGAATCAACGATTGTACGAAATGTACGTATTCGAAATCCATTCTCGCATTTGACTTATTTTACTCCGTTATTCACTAACACGATTGAAGTCTATAATTATATACGAAGTTGCCGGGATGTACATTTCGATAGAAATCGTCATACGATATAACTGGAGCCAGGTATTGGGCCACAAAAGGCGTACGCTCTTTCCATATCCATTTAATTGCTTACTAGAAGGCATACGTTCAATATTTTCGTCATAGTAGGTCGGTGTTGATCCTAGCTTTACATCATTCGTGTATCTTTCACGGGTCTCATTCAAACAGTTGTTCTATCTGGAAAGAGCTATTTTCTTCATTGAGTTATCTCCATAAATAGCGCTCACTATTTTATGAATTTCCTGACTTTTTTGAGTTTCACCGGAAACCATGGGAACCCAACTTAGATTTATTTCACAGACCTTGTATGAATAATCAAGGATAAATAGTAGAGACAAAACAACCATTACCGATTCAGTTCTATCACATCGTAACAGGTATAATAAAATCAGCTTCAAATACCGAACGTTTAAGGTGTACAAAAAGCGAATAAAGTGAGTAATTATAGCCGAAAAATATTAATTACGCAAACTAATAAAATATAGAACAGATTTTTAACTAACCTACTGAACATAAGCATCAAAAACATACCACGAATTAACAGATACTCATTAGTATTATACATATAATGCATATGATTAAGAAGGGTTATAAGTTTTCTGATGATGAACAGGCCTTACATCATGAAAATAAATAGATAAACTGCTAATAAAGCAGATGACATGCAACAATACAATGTGACCGATTGATAACTGTTCACAAGACATATTTGTCAACCGAAATCTTTGATTAAATTGATTTCCAAAGACGTAACAACCAACGTCAGAATAGGTTTCTAATCTCTGGTAATATTTCTTGCACATGTATCTAATAAATATCCATCGTATGAATAAACATGATTAGTAGTGTCATTTAAAACATAAATCATTTCAAGATACATGTTCTGTAGGTAGGTCACTCATATACACATGCTAATGAAATTAAGATCTAAGTAATCAGGCTTATTTCATACACATAACTCCCTTTAACATTTTGAAAAGAGCAAGAACAAAGATTCTAGCAGAATAGCATGAATTGATTTTATTTCGTAGGCTCTCGTCAGCTGCTCACAACCTGTGATATTTAAAAATCATAATTACATAATGGGTTCAAATTGCTTACATGAGAGGGGTTGTTTGGAAGTTGAATTGAAGATATATTCATAGAGTATATCGTGGGTGTAAATGAAATTAATAGACTGAATATTGTAAAAGTATACCTAATGTGAAAGAATATTCTACAACATTAATTGTGGCAACAGTTCAAGAGGGGTTAGAAACAATTGATTACATAATGAATAAACATTGATAGGAATATAGTGAGTAGAGTTCAGTTGAAAGATTATTAACTTGAAAGATAGTTGAAAAAAAAATAATATCAACGATGCAATAAATACAAAAGAAAAAAATTTAAGGTGCAGTGAAGGAATATTTGTCACCAGGGCAAGGAAAGATTAACAACCGCCTCCTTTCGAACACATAGGTCAGATTTTTGACGTCTGATGGCAACGACTTCAGCAAACTTCAGAAGACTGGAGTTTGGCTGTTTAATAATCACCTTAAAGGATCGCAAGGTATTTACCTGATGTCCTATATCAAGGAAATGTTTGATGATTGCACTGTTTAGTCTTTCTTTCCCTTGTTCTAAGACTTTTTGGAACATGTTCAAAAAATCTAAGATATGCTCTCCTCTCAGTTCGGTCGATGTAGCTGCATTGACAGGTACACGTAAATTTATAAATACAGTTGGCGGTAACATGAAAGGGGTGCTTGTCGACCTTTGATTGGGTTATTGAACATGTTGTTTTATAGGGAATTAGAAGTTTAGCAGCCGAATAAGTTCTGGCTAGCGCAGTGTTCAGTCTCCTGTTGATTGTTTGTGCGACGTTATCACCTTTAAAGTTAAGATTTATATATACTGGCTTTTTATTAACCGTAGTTATTTCCGTCTTGTTTTCTTTGGGCTTTTTATATTTGCCAATAAACTTTTGTGGATAAAAGTTGTCTTTTAGACATTTTTCTACGTTCATTAATTCTTCTTCCAGTTTGTCAGTGGTACATATCTTTTCTACCCTGTAAAATAGGGTTTTAACCAATGCCCATGGGGTATCTTTAAAACACGGTCCTTAAACAGGCAATTAGTGAAACAACGGAATACTCCAGATGCGTGGACGACACATTATTATCTGTAACAATAAACAGCATGCAATCCACCTGCTAAAACTTTTCAATAACGCTCACACTAACATACATTTTACTATGGAGCACGAACAGAACGACGTTCTACTTTCTTGATGTTGTCATAAAACGCAGGGGAGACGGGACAGTCCAACGTTCAGTTTATAGAAAAAGTAATTGAAATGGCCTTTACCTAAATTTCAATAGTTTTAGTTCAATTAGTTACAAAAAGGCATTGAATAAAACTTTAACTTTAAAGGTGATAACGTCGCACAAACAATCAACAGGAGACTGAACACTGCGCTAGCCAGAACTTATTCGGCTGCTAAACTTCTAATTCCCTATAAAACAACATGTTCAATAACCCAATCAAAGGTCGACAAGCACCCCTTTCATGTTACCGCCAACTGTATTTATAAATTTACGTGTACCTGTCAATGCAGCTACATCGACCGAACTGAGAGGAGAGCATATCTTAGATTTTTTGAACATGTTCCAAAAAGTCTTAGAACAAGGGAAAGAAAGACTAAACAGTGCAATCATCAAACATTTCCTTGATATAGGACATCAGGTAAATACCTTGCGATCCTTTAAGGTGATTATTAAACAGCCAAACTCCAGTCTTCTGAAGTTTGCTGAAGTCGTTGCCATCAGACGTCAAAAATCTGACCTATGTGTTCGAAAGGAGGCGGTCGTTAATCTTTCCTTGCCCTGGTGACAAATATTCCTTCACTGCACCTTAAATTTTTTTCTTTTGTATTTATTGCATCGTTGATATTATTTTTTTTTCAACTATCTTTCAAGTTAATAATCTTTCAACTGAACTCTACTCACTATATTCCTATCAATGTTTATTCATTATGTAATCAATTGTTTCTAACCCCTCTTGAACTGTTGCCACAATTAATGTTGTAGAATATTCTTTCACATTAGGTATATTTTTACAATATTCAGTCTATTAATTTCATTTACACCCACGATATACTCTATGAATATATCTTCAATTCAACTTCCAAACAACCCCTCTCATGTAAGCAATTTGAACCCATTATGTAATTATGATTTTTAAATATCACAGGTTGTGAGCAGCTGACGAGAGCCTACGAAATAAAATCAATTCATACTATTCTGCTAGAATCTTTGTTCTTACTCTTTTTATAATCAGGCTTAATTCTTTCTTTATATTGAATAACAACACGAGTTGGGACAACCTAATGTATTTGAACGCGAAATTACAGAATATCTTACTAAAATCTGAGCATCATACGGTAAATACTTAATTTGCAAAATGTCAATCCATTGTCTCAAAGTTTACCGTTCCTTTTACAAATATCAGTACATCGTCTGAGATTTCATTGTTCCTGCATTTTCATACCAATTGCTTTCCGTTCCCGTTATTTCATTCTCGATCTTCTACTGAAATACATTCTATTCCTGACCATCGTTATTCGTCTGTCTCTAGTATTCGATCATAGGTGTTTTCGAAGAATTGCTCGTATATATCCTGGGACCAACAAGTAAGTAATGCAGTTGTTAGGAAACGGGTACTAGATAAGGATGGTAAATCAATTGATGAAGTAGTGAAGCTTCATTAGTTGAGATGGCTGGGGCATTTGATACGTATACTCAACCAACGACTGCCCCGACGTGCGATGTTTCATGGTGTAGGAGTAGGTTGGAAGAAAGGTTGAGGTGGCCAGATCAAAACATGGCACAAATCTAGGAAGTCACTGAAACGTGGACTAAGCCATATTGGTAGGTGTAGACTACCCTTGTTGGGATTGCGAGACGATAGTAACCGATGGTTAGAAACCTTGAATGACATGGCTTAAAATCGTTTGCAGTGGTGCAGGTGCATCCACTCTTTGTGTCCTCCCGAATTCTAAACTTCTGAATTCTTCATATCCCTTTTTTTCTCTTTCTAAATTTATCTACAAACCCTAATGTTTCCGATTACTGCTCATACTTTTACTTCCTCTACCACTACAGGATTTGAATCGATAACTGCATCTCTGTGCTAATGTGGTATGACAACTCGAACTGATATACGTACGTATGAAGTTCTACTTTGTTACTAACCGACTGACTATCGTTATATGCTACTTATGTGGATATAAGTAGCTCACACCAAAATATCAGTAAAACGATTAAAAAGAAATTGCATTTAGTACAGTATTTTCTTTTATCTCTTTTATTTTCTCCTTTCTTTCTTTTTCTTCATTTCTGATCAAAACAATATTATGTCATCAAAATAGGACAAGAATTATTACATCAGACAATTCATGAAATGGATAAAATTTATCATGCACATAATAAATTATTACATTCTAAAGAAGCCAAAGAAAAGTTAAGTGAAGATGATCTATTCACAGCTCGTGAATATCTACGTTCAATGATTAAAGAACAACATAAATTAGCTGAAGCAATGTGGTATCCGAAAAAATTAGAATTAGAAGGTGAAAAATGATTTGAATTGTAAATTATTTTATATTTTCAAACTAGTCTGTACATATTTCTCCTAGACTTTTTATACATTGTTATATGTATAGTTTGTAGCTTATATGATTGGATTCTTTAAAATAGTTTTCTTTTTAATGTTTTAAATCTTTTATTAGTAGTTTTTCAAATTAAGTATCCATGTTTTTTGATACAGTTTTATTGTCTAAACTGGATGATTTAGTCTTAAAGGTTGTATTGTTCTTTTGAACAACATCATCAGCACAAACTTTACGTAGAAGTTTGAAGTATTCGAATTTCTTCACATACAACTGACAGGCTGTTGTGTCAACCTCAATCTTGATTATATCTCTTTTTGATGTTATTCTTGATCTTATATGTATCCATGATTTTTCTGATTGGCTAATAAATTGGATGGATTCCTATATGTTTTTGTTGATTGCCCCTAAATGCCCTGGTACGGCCGAGAGTGGGGAGAGTCCGCTCTCCTTCTCGAAATGCTGACATGGCGACGCGTATATAGCCTCTGACAGGGAAGTCCTACTCACTGCCTTCTCGTTGCGCGGGTGTTTTTTACGAAGTTGAGAGGACGAAAAGCGAATGTCTATTGCTTTAAGTGGGTTGGTGGACATGGAGAGTCCACCTCCTGGGGGAGTTGGAAAACCCTCATTCCTAACCAATGGTGCACACGGGCTCCAGGATTCTGAAGGAACAAATGGCGTATGAAACACTTGTTGACTGGCTACCATTGGACTGCATCTCCTGACGTTGCTCCACTGCGTTGTGGATCAGACCTTCAGGTCGAAAGCTCCGGGTGTGGTCCCCTAAGAAAGCCATTTGCTTCGTTTTGGAGACCCGGGGAGCATCACAGCCCTCACACAAATCAAATGAGATCTGTGTGGCGCATATGTATTTGGTGCCTCCTTGTACCAATACCTATGTGTTAAAATTTTGTTGATTGATTTGAGTGCCAAGCTTTTTTAAAAATTTCCTGGTGTTCTCAGTATCCCTTCTATCCAAGATCTTAACATTTCTTCAGTAGAATGAAAAGATGTGCCGTGATGTTTGACCGTTAATTGATATCCATGAAGGCGAAAATAAAAGAGGCATCTACTTTGTCCGATTTAGTGTTTTTCGCAATTAAAACATTGTTTTTTAGATGATGTTCGCTTTTTCTTATTTCGTCATTTCGTTTTTTGGTCTGTATAGGATTGATTGAAGTGATTTAGTTAATTTGTATGCTACAATTATTCCAAACACCTCCAATCATCTCGTTTTAATTGTTGATGTGTCTTTTACATATGGTAATATGATCTGTTCGTAGGTTTCTATCTTCGATTTTTTTTCTCCGGATTTGTTGTACTAATATTTTTCTTAATGAATCTGGGTAGATAGCGGGTTTATTTTTAGAAGGATAACCATTAGATATTGTCCTTCATTTTTCTACACTACAACAGTGCTGCGATGTGTTATCTCCATCCAGTTGATTTCGTGACTTCTTGGGTTGTTGCTACCGTAGTTGAAAATTTGATTTATATGGGTTAGTTTTCGATATAGGATCAATGTGACAGTTTAATTAAAGTAGATTAATCGGTTGATTCTATTAAGAATGAAAGAACTATCAAAATAGTTGGTTTTATATGTCATACTTGTAGTTGATGGCAGTGTGACTGAATACCTAATGCTGGATTCTAGCGTTTTTTTAGCATACTTGCTTACGCCTGTTACTTTTCGCGGAGGAGCATAGACTATCCACCAGCACTCTCCATCCAACCTTGTCATGGGCAATCCTTTCCTGTTGTTATTAATCCTTCTCATATATCCGCATATAGCTCTTCTAGAGTTACTGCCGGTCCGAAGCTCGGGTAAAAGAGGAGGGTTGGGCATAGGGTTAGTGACCCCATCTTGTAGAAAATTAACTCGTTAAGAAACACTAACCAGAAAAAATAATTCAAACCATATCTAGTATAGGCTGATATTTATTCTCTATTGTCATTAAATATTAATTTGAACCGTTAATTCTTGACTGTAATATGTAAAATGTTTAAAAAAATTCATTAATCATATCTAGATAAATAGACATCATTTAATGAATTTAGTGGATAACCAAATTTGTATGTAAACTGGGAAATTGATTTATTCATGCCACCATGGTCAATAAGTCACAAATTAATGATTAACATAGAAACCTATCTAATTAATTCCAATGATAATAGAAAATTATATCTTAATTATGTGTATCTTATCTGAATGTTTAGTAAGTAGTATCCATAAACTGAATGTTTCTTATTTATTTATTTGAGCACATAAATATTGGTACAAAGGGGCATCAAGTACATATGAACCACACAAGTCACTTGGTTTGTGGTTGAGCTGTGATACTGCCCGAGTGGCCAGGTCGAAGCAGGTGGTTTTCTTGGGGGATCACATTCTGAGCCTTCGACCTAAAGGTCTGATCCACAAGACAGTGGAGCAACGTAAGGAGATGCAGTTTCTTATTAGTTCGATATATTCAAATTTATGGAAATTGTCTCAAAAAGATGAAGCAAGTTAGTGACCGTAAACATGACCATAGTTGATATCATAGTCACTGATAGTATTGTTGGTGTTATTCTTAGATTTTACATATATAGTATAGTGTTTGTTTGAGAGAACTATAAGTTACCCTATCTAGAATGTATCCTACAGCATGTAGAACTAATTTCCATTCATCCATTTTTGAGAAAATGTTCTAAAAAGTCTCTGAACAAGGTAAAGAAAGACTCTAAACAGTGCAATCATCAAACATTTCCTTGATATAAGGACATCAGGTAAATACCTTGCGATCCTTTAAGGTGATTAGTAAGCAGCCGAACTTCAGTTTGCTGAAGTCGTTGCCATCAGGCGTCAAAAACCCGATCTATGTGTTCAAAAGGAGGAGGTTGTTAATCTTTCCTTGCCCTGGTGACAAATACCCTTTCACTGCATCTTAAAAATTTTTTCTTCTTTAGACTCTTCCTCGCATTTATTACATCATTGAGTTTTATTTCAACTATCTTCGAAACTAATAATCTTATTTTATCAACTGACCACTACTCACTATATTCCTATCAATCTTTATTCATTATGTATTCACTTGTTTCTGGCGTCCCGACCGTTGTTGCTACCTTGACGTGGTGGTCGGGCTTGCCTATCGTGATGAAGCAACCGAGCTATACTGGCTGGAACAACCGTTCCTCAAGGTCCTACCATGTCAGACAGGTCGGTTGAAGAGCGGTAAGACTAAAAGCAACAAACCCAAGGTCCGAAGGCGAAGTCGTACTGCTGACTGTACAGAGGTGTGACAGCAGTAAGGTGTTTCCTTCAGACAACCAGCATGACAGCGATGCTGCCTTCCCACAAGGAGGGGTGGGGTTAGAAAAGGTCGACCCTAAAAATGCACACCTCGCCTTATCCCACGGATATCCGTCTCCGGCGGTAAGGTCTCAATAAGTACGGAGCTAACACAAAAATTACCCATAACAAGGTCGTGTGTGACCGACCTCAAGCAGTTGTCCCTTGGGCACTGCGGTCACGCTCTCAGTTCACTAAGACCACCTTTAATCCAATTTCCTTTTCAGGTACCTCCAGAACAACCCTTCCACGGTGTGGGCAACCGGGAAGTGATAACCGCCCTCATACTTCTAACAGCACTCAAGTCCACTGTATTCATAATCAACCTCCTTCTTCAATTCCTATTATTCCTCCTACATCGACTTTCAACTCTGTATTTCCTCTCTCGGCTTCCACCTCAAGTGTCACCGTAGCCAACGATTCTAGTGCGCAAAACACTGTCCCAGGTCTACTGAAACCTCGCTCCAAACTACACATTGGAGCCTTCAACGTACGCACCCTATGTCAAATCGGTCAGCAGGCTTCCTTGGCTAAAACCCTAGAGTCTCTTTCCATTGATGTATGCTGTGTCTCCGAAACACGCATACAGGATTCCAGTGTGGTCATTCACTTGACCTCACCTCGGCAAGACGGAGAGCCAACGAGATACACCCTTCGTGTGTCCGGTGACCCGATGGCAAGTTCTCGTGGACTGGCAGGTGTAGGCATAGCACTAAGCATAAGGGCCGAACAAGCACTGCTAGAGTGGATCCCCGTCAACAGTCGTCTATGTGCTGTTCGGCTGAACGGCTACGTAAGAACTCGGAAGGATAGGGACACACGTCGTTGCCTTTTTGTCGTTTCTGCCTACGCTCCCACTGACTGCAGCTCAGATGAAGTGAAAGATGAATTTTACAGAAAGCTATCCGAACTTCTTCAGAAAGCTAAACGCTCAGACATAGTACTCGTAGCAGGTGATTTTAATGCTCAGATAGGCAGTTTAAACCAAACAGAAAGGCATTTAGGTGGATATTTTAGTATTCCGACACAGCGAACAGATAATGGTGATCGTCTGCTGCAGCTATGCTCAGACAATCGTTTATTTTTAGCAAACACAAATTTTAAGCATAAGGAGAGACATCGTCTAACATGGCGACCCCCTACACCAAACCAACGATGGACTCAAATAGACCATATTGCCATCAGTCATCGTTGGAGAGGGTCGGTAGAAGATTGTCGTTCATTCTGGAGCACCTGCTTGGACTCCGACCATGCCCTAATACGGGCACGCATCTGCTTGCGCCTCAATGGACGCAAAAAAGCCACATTAAAAAGACCCATTAGAACTGAGTTGAGTAACGAGAAAACCAAAAGTAGGTTCCAGGAACAACTGAGGTCACACTTAGTTAGTTGTGAAGACGAGGCTGACCCAGATGTTGCTTGGAAGGACATACAAGCAGCTGTGGAAACAGCAGTGACATCTGTTAGTGACTTAAACCACAGAGTTACAAGGAACCAGTGGATTTCTTCAAGGTCTGTCACACTGATGGATTCTCGCAAACTCGTCCCATCAGGTTCTGAACATGATGAAGAGCGTAAACAAATCAGATCTAGGTTAAGAAAAAGTCTAAGGAACGACCGTGAGCAGTGGTGGGTAACGAAAGCAAAAGAGATGGAAAAGGCGGCGACTATAGGGAACACAAGACAGCTTTACAGACTAATAAAAGAAACTGGAACTAATAAGTCAAGTGTAAGTGAGATTATTTCGGAAAAAGATGATACTCTCATCTGCTCCCAGTCCAGACGTTTAGAACGATGGGCGGAACATTTTAGAGAACAGTTCAGCTGGCCTTCAGCTACTCTACAACTACCCTCCATTCCCAGACAAAGTGAATGGAACATTGAAGTAGGTCCCCCAACTCTTGCTGAAGTTGAGAAGGCTATAGTTAATCTGAAACGAGGAAGGGCAGCTGGTCCAGATGGACTGGCTCCAGAAGTCTTTAAGGATGGTGGTCCAATTTTAGCGACTAGGTTGACTAATATTTTAGCTAAGATCTGGGAGTTAGACGTTATC